ACTTGAACATTCTGTAAAGAGACAGAGCAACCCTACAAATCCCGTGGCTTCCCTGATTCTCCGAGTGTTTAATTATTTACAACGGGACCCTACTCATATGTACATGCACGTAGAGGAAGGAGGGCAGGGGTTGTGCCTCCTTATAGTCACCTGAGAGGGGGGGGGGGCGCGAGGTCAGCTCCATGCAATGGCGTAAAAGGGACGGAGGTGCTGCGACAAACCTTCGCCCCCTCTCCTCTAGTGAAAAGAAAACCACCGCATGCCTATGGCCCCACGTATTTTCAAACTGCGGTGTTCCATTATTTATTTCATCGGTTTCCCATTTAGTTACGGTAAGTCACAGCAGTCACCGATGAGAAGTCGCGCTACGTACCCATTTTTCTAAGTATACCAAATCGTGGTCATGAGTGGTTTGATGCTGCTATGGCTTAAAACGGCTAAAAAATTTCAAAACCCTTCAAGGGTTCTGAAGCAACCTCTGAACGAAACAGGCTTTTGATTGGCACGTGCAGGAGGAATACCAGCTGTGCATTGTCCCCCCTACCCTACCTCGAGATGAATTCGCACGCGTGTTCTGCCTTGCCTCGAATGAACATTCCACCCGATCAACTTATTTTTTCAATTCTTTTTGTGCATTTTTGACGGCGTGAGTGGTGATAACAACGCGTAGTCAAAACATAAAGTATTTCTGATATGCTTACTTATCAGTTCTGACATTGTCTTCGTGTACATGAAGAAATGAATTAGCGATTAGGAGACAGCACCTGTGAAAAGAGTAGTGAATTTAGGCAAAAAAGAAACAGTGCACTCTCTTGTCCTACAGCCTCGAATGGATTCCTGAGCCCTTTAAGAGCCCATTGGCAAGCTACTAGAGGATAAAACTTCACACCAATGATTCGCACCAGTGGTTTCCAGCTTGAAGAAGCTGCGTAGATGCGCAGCCTTCTTTTTTTCTTCAGTTTTCTCTTTCTCCTGCATTTACCTATTTTCCTCTTTTGTATTCTTTATTTTTTTCGCTTTATTCGATCTATTTTTCTCTCGTTATTTCTACCACCACAAAATGACGGTGACAAGATGCGTTCATTCATTCCAGGTATGTCAGGAGAACCGTAGAGCATCGTAGAGCACCATGGCATTGGCGGAAACACTAGGTGCTGCCCTCACTTTTCCGGTTTTTCTTCATAATTTTTTGAGTGAAGCTCCTTAAGGCGTGGGTCGGTCATCACCTGTATGTATGCATATATGTAGTCACCACTTCAGAATATATCCACGGAGGGAATGATGATGAGTGGGCGAAGCTTCAGAGGGTTCTATCGGCAAACAGTGAATCATCCCCTGACCACGTCCATTCATCGTCTGTCTGTCTGTATGACTCATTGAAGGACACACGGACGGACGCATGGACGAACATATGCATGGATGAACAGACGCACAGACGGACGGATGGATGGAGGCACGGGTGTATTAACGCATGGGCGGACACGCGGATGCACGGAAGAACGGACGCATGGACAGATGCACGAACGGACTGACGGACGCTTCGCCCACTCATCATTAGTCACTCCGTGGATATGTTGTGATTTATTTCTATTTCTCTCTTACTACTTCTTGACAGCTTCCTCTCCTTTCTTCTATTTTTGTACCTGGTTTTCCCGACGTTGCGCCAAGCGACGACACCATACGACAGCCTGTGCATCCAAAGTGCTCCTCACTACATAGTGCGCGGAAGTTTCGCAGCGAGAGGTTGAACGGCCTTGTTCAGCTCCAGAAAGCTGGCGTACGTCTTCACGAAGCAACACCACAAAATTTCGATCGGCCACGATGCTCTTCACGTGTGCGCTCTAATGAATCCGAAAAGGGAAGAAGGAGCACCAAAATGAATGCCGTGGTGTCGCCTGGCGTTGTGTGTAGCCAGAAGTGTCCCACAGCTGAATCGAGTACTTGCTCGTGGCATTAATGTTACAAGAAACTTTGGTAGTTGTGTGCTTATAAAAAGTGGCTAACGATTTTGAGTACTTGGTACTCTACTATGGGAGGTCATGAAGACATCCTGCGGGCCTCACAGAAGTTCGAACATATAAAAAACCAGGGATGCGCGTAAGGCACGAGTGCAGAGCGACTAACGGGGGGTGTTTTCTGGCTTCTACGCGGGCACCGGTCCGGCTTGTGGCTAGTTGAAATGCAAGACTTATGTCAAATGCCTTCAACGTTTTTTGTGTAATCGTTTAAAGTGCACTATATAACTATTTAAGGAATGCAGCCTTTTAAATAATGCAACCATTTTAAAAATGAAGTGCATTTTGTTAAGATTTTAGCACGGCCTACATAGAAAATTCAGCTGTGTCATGCGCCGCAGCGACATCTTCAAAACATCACATGTTGCCGGCATGAGATCATGCACTCAAGCAACCAAAGGCTCATGCTGCTAAAGGCGTGTTTACACTATAGAAAGACATGGCACTGACATGACCCCTACAAAAACACGAGGCCGACGACTCGCCCGCTGACGAAGGCGCCAGACCCCATGGTCACACTAGGCCAACGACGAGATGACTACGCCTCAAAAGACAGCATTTCATTGTAGTGTAACGTGATAAAAGACCGAAAACACAAGCAAAACGTATCCGCAGAACTGTCGTCGGCGTGTCTTCGGGAGATCGGGGGCTGACGGAAAATTTGTCCTATGTCCTTCCTTCAAACGACCACTAAGCGCGCAATCCTGGGGAAGTTAACAATCTTCCTCCGAGGCTTCTGCGGCGTCTGAATAGGCAGCTCGAGCACTCAACTGAAGTCTTCTTTTTGCGACCCTATTGTGTATCCCCAACCCTGACCCCCGTTACCATGGAATATGACGGAGGCTCAGCTGCGTAGCCGGAGAGGGGCAATGGTAAAGCAGAGAGCATGGCTGAAAATGAGGTGCAGGTGTGCAAGTTTGGTTGGTGTCGCTGCGAGTGCCTCCAATGTGACTACAGAATTGCCAGAGACTGTTAGCACGACAAGGCGCGGGCGGGGTCTTCGAGAGACCACCAGCAGACTGCTTGTGTCTTGTCAAAGTACGACGGCCGATGACAAGAGAAGCACACTCCCAAAAACAGCCTACAGACCGAAATCGGAGTCGTGTCTCTCTAGTGTAAACGCGCCTTAACATGTTTAAATCACATGAAACGCGCGCTAGCAAAGCAATTACTCAAAAACTCAGCATCTCCCTGAACGCATCAGTGTCGAAAATGCTGCGAACGTCCACCAAAATATTCTATGCTAGAAACCGTCTACATGACTGGAATTCTAAAGTTTACCACAAAACGATACTTACAAGATGAGTTCGTTAATTCCAGGTATGGCAGGAGCACCATAGAGCGCCGTCGAGCACCGTGGCATTGACGGAAATACTAGATGATGCGCCCACTTTTTCGGTTTTGCTCCACATCAATCAGCGCGCACCAAAGGCGACAGTTCAGTGACTGCCGCCTCTCGCGATCGTTTCAGCGTACGGCCCCCACTCAGACAACATCTACCACGTGTTGCATGAAAGGAGAGGACATCACAGCCGCGCAAACTTACCTTCGATCTGCTAACACGGAGACAAGAAGAAAGTCAAGAGATTAGGCCTTACTGACTTCCTTCTTCTTATCACGTTGCCCCGCCGTCTTTAGGAATGGCAGGTGGATAGAAAAACGTTTGTTACAAAGAACAAAAATGAAATAAGGGTTAGAAACAGGTAGGTGGGACCCCTAGTCCAGGGCTCCACTAGCCTCAGCATCCCGACGCGCCTGGTCCAGGAGCATCGCTTGGGCCTCCTTTTTCTCGCTGGCGAGCAAGGTCCCACTGCTCCATCGTGAATTTTTCGTCGAAATCTGAGGCGTAATAGTTCTAGCTGACCTTAACTTACATTCCCATGTAATGTGAGCAAGTGTTGGCTGTCCTCTACAGTACGGGCAAGAGCCCGCGTATGCGGTTTGGTGCATCGCATGTTTTAAACGCAGGTGTAGATATGTAGTTGTTTGCAGGCGGCGCCACTCATGCGCTTATATTACACAATAGGTGCCAGCTAGTCGAGCTCTCCTGTATTCAAACAATGCGCCTTCATGCTCGAATAGCAGGCACTTGGACTAGTTGGTAGGATTCCATTCTGATGATTTAGTAGCGCAATACAGTAACAGAGACAATGAAAAAACACGCATTTGTCCTCGTAGTTTTTTCATCGAAATGGTCCCTTCATTCTTTGCATTGCCTTCTTATCAGCGATTTTCTTGGTGGAAGTTCTCCCTAGCGTTCTAAATTCATATGGCTAATCCCAAAACAAAGAACAAGGGGGCGGTTAGCCGCTCTGCCGTGCCAGGAAGGTTCCAGTTGGTTGTTGCGTAAATTATGTAGAACATAAAGTCTACGTCGTGCGGTACGGAATGCCGACACTCACAGACAATATCTACGTATTCTACAGCATATTTGAACAAGGTACTTCAAGAATATGCACTAAGTTGTGTAAGAAATTCACAAAAAAAAACCTTAGTCTTACCAATAGTGATATAAAGACCACATAGGTTTTACACACAGACTGTTCCCAGACCGCATGCCGCTCCCCTGTCTTTTTTTTCCGAAAAGTGTTCACAGTATCTACAGGCCAAAAAAAACTTTATTAGCCTGCCTAATTTTGTCTATATCGTGATCGACAAAGCCCATATTGGTTTGTTAGACAATGTATAAAGACGATCGCCGTCAGAAAGAAGGCGTATTCTACCGACCACGTTAGGAAATTTCAGGTGAGCTTATATGCAAATAATCTAAGGAATACTACGGCGACATCAGCCTAGAGAAACCCTTTCTACAATCATTGGCCGCTTCCAACACTGGCGAGGTCGCCTGACATCTACCGCATGATATGGGCCTGTACGAAAAAAAAAGCTCTGATCTCGGGTTGGACATGAGAGCTCAATTTTCGTGCCCTACAAGAAAGTACTGAAAGGCTGCCCTGCTGAATTCCTCTGACCTTCAGGCCCAGAAGGCTTTGGTCAAGAGGGCCAGATTGTCGGCTGCGACGAATGGGGCACCGCACTATGAAATAGAACAAGTATGCATGTGGTGCTGCTGCGTCAGTCCACGTCCCTCCACTTTAATAAATGTTTTTCACCACCACCACCACCGCAAAGACAGTTTGTTTTGAAGCACTGGATAAGGTAAGATCGCACAACCTGCGTCGTTTATTACACAGTCTTAGCTTAACCATACCTTTATTACAAATGAACTGACAGTTGGGCGAGCGTTGCGCAGGGAGCGATGTCTCAGAGAACTTTAGCCACCACCACACTTCTCCTGGCAGGCCTTCTGCGTGTCGAAGCGGTTCTCGTTGCCTCCGCATCCTCCGTAAACAAACATCTCGCACCTCTTGGTCTCCGTGCGGTAGTAGTACTTCGGCATCGAACTGAAGCACGGACCGCTGTCGAAGTCTTTGTTGCAAATCGAATTGTCTGTTTCGTAAAAGAAGATAGAAGGTGAAACATAACTTAAAGAAGCCCCAAAGTAAAACAGTCAGTTTAGATTGACATCGTATATTCGGAAAACTCTATTGTCATTCATATGACTATCATATGTTCATAAATTAAGCTCCAAGTTCCATTTCTACTGTTCGCACCTTCTTTTTCGTACGCAACGTCAGGAATTTGAAAATATTTTATTCGTGCTAGCACAGTAGAGTTTCTTGAAACGTGGTATGTAACGTTCCTGGCTTCACCGGAATATGTAGCTATTAATTACCAATGGAGAACTACGCAGACTAGAAGACGCCGCCAGAATCAACGACGTCACAGCCCTTCACACGAAAAATTTAAGGGGGTTTCACTATCCGCCGTTTCTTATTTCGCGTTTTCTCGCTTATCCCTCGTCTTCTTAAGGCAAGAGTGGTGATTTTTGTATTCTGAAAGAGCAATTTCGCAATACGAGTAAATTTGGCTTTGTTTTTGTTTAGTGTCTCTTGAAGAGATAACGACGAGAAATGAGTGAAAGGTAAAAAGAGAGAACAAGCAACGTAAATAGCATTGGTGCATCCCATCAGCACCTGTAAAGTGGAGGCAACAGGAGGCTAGAAGTAATGGCAAGGCGGCTAAATCACCCGTCTTACGGTGAGTGTCCAAGTCAATGCGGTCATCGCGCTAGTAGTGAAAAGGCTTAAGTCTACATAGACGTGTTTTTGTGACACGTGCTTTGTATGCGATTCAGATATTCTGCTCAAAATTTTCTATCCAAGTGAAGTACGATAAACGCTCCGTGACAGACACCATAAAACACAGCAATAATTCTACATGACCACATCAGTGGGGAAAATACTGCTCAGCCCGCGCCAGGAGGACCAATGGGCAGCCCGGCTTGCCGCAGACGCGACGAGTACTCAAGTTCTGGCCTCCAACTGAACAAATGGGGGCTGCAGCATGGTTACTTCCTTGGTCCCCGCCTCCGTTGACAGCAGCAAGGACCCAATATAACGTTTGTCTCTCCCTCCCAAGAGATTAAAAACGCGTGTGATGTTTCGGCACTACCTTCGAAACTCACCTTGTTATACTCTGAATACTTCATCGCAAGCCCCGGAAGCGCTTTGTCCTGCTGTGCATTTATGTATACGCAGCAGCAGTCGCAGATGCTAAGAAATCGTCGCAATACCTCAAGCTGTTTACAATAAATGAAACAATCTCAGCTCCGCCCACATTGCCATCGCTGTCCTTCCCACAGGTTATTTGCATAAATGTTCCATCCAATAGCTGGTACTTATCTTCGTGACGTTTAGTACTTCTTCAGTGTTTCAGATAGTTGACTCTCCCATACGGGTGCATGTTTTCGTCACTGATATTAGGTCGGCAACTTGAAAAGAGCCATTCTCTGTGCTCTTCCCGCCTGGTGGCTGCAGCGAGTGCACCGCAATGCCTTGGTGGTCAGCGATCCACGACACGGTAGTCTGTTCTTTGGCGCTGCTACAGCTCCCTACTAAAAAAATGCCCTCACCTCCCCGAAGAGAATTCTGAGGATATGCGAATGCATTGCGGGAAGTCCATAACAGCGTTTTGCACGTGAGAACCCAACGTTAGAAAAATAATATTTTCTTTTTTTTTCTTGTACCGTGCCGCCAATAGCACTGTTTGCCGCACGTGACGTTTTTGTGTCGCGAGAAATGCGGTATGCGTTTCCAGGTCAAGTAGCTGGCATGCACGGTTCAAAATTACGTTGAAGTGAACAACACAAACAGCATGTTCGGCTCGGCGTTGGCGTTTCACAGCGACGTCACGAGCACATTTCCGGATGTTCTTGAGAGGATCCCAGCCAGCGAATGGTCGAGAGCGAGGCGCGAGTGGACGGGAAAGTGGGTAGCAGGGAGGCGAGAGAGCAAACGGGGAGACAGCGAGCGGTGTGGCCAGAGTGTACTAGTACACTGCTAGCGCGGCACTGAACCCATGCTCTCCTATATTCTCTCGCATTACCTTCTCTGGTTGCTACGGCTATAGTGAACTAGAAGAGATGTGGTGGCATGACCGGAGCAAGGAGGATACATAAAACTTGCTGGAGTGGAAGGGATGCTGTGCGAGTGAAGCCAGCCGCCGCCATCTTGCCAGTGGCAAAAAGCGTGCTCAGCGCCCTCGCGAGCTGCTGATTTCGTCCGTTCTTCTTTCACCTTGTCGGCTTGTAAAGACAAATGGTTTACAATGGTTGCCTCTTGCGTCATTTACGGATGTGCCAACAGGTTGAAAAAAGGTTGTGGCCTCACATTCCACCTGTACGTACACGAAAACGTCTTCGACATAGCCATTCCGCGCTCGTTACTAAAGGGAGCTATAGCTGACGCGATCTAAGCGTGCAAAACATAGCAGTCCGGATTTGTTTTACAGGTTTACTAAAAATCCCGTAACGCAGAGCCTCTGGGAGTGGGCCGTTCGCCATGAGAAGTAGAATGCGAAAGACTGAGATCACTTCGCTCTGTGCACTTCACGCCAGAGTGCTTTGACCACCTCTTTGACATTGAAGGGAAGCATGTGAAATGGGGTTATGAAGTGGCATTGAAGGCACTTCAACGTGAAGAAGAGTTGTGGCTCGGAAACAAACTTACGAAAGTCCACGTCCAATGGGAAAAGCAAGAAAATGAAGGTGTGATATGCTGCACAACTGAACGAGTGCCTCAGTTGCCGACGCTTTGGACTTCTGCGAACAAAAGCTAAAGCTGCCGCAATTCAAGGGTGCCAGCACAAGATGTACGTTTATTAGAACTTTTGATGGCTTGTTTGACATCTTAAACTCCAGGAACCCGCTGGCAAGGTCGTACAAAGCGCCCCTTTGGCAAGGGAACGAAGCATTCTGGAAGTCGTTTTTTTTTTTTTGTGGAGACTCGAACGTACATAAACGGGCTGAGAGATCCGGCAGTGACAGAAGGACTGAAAAAAATGGATTCATTGGTTTTTGGATATGCATGGCAAGCACCGAAAGAATGTTTGACAGACTTGTCAGCCAGGGTCAGCTGAAATACTTACTGACACACAAACTCAGTCAAGACTATGCCGAAAACTTCTTTGAATCAATGCGTGGATGAGGCGGCCATAACAACAACCCAACAGCTTCGCAGTTTATAGCTGCATACAAGCGTCTATTGGTTCAGACGGAAGTCACGTCTTCAAGTTCTGGACACTGCTCCCAAGATGTTCTTTCCGTATTGAAAGCAACGACTCCTGCAGCCATGGTACATTCAAGAAGCAATCTCACTGACATGCGCTAGGCCCCAGTCCTGCAGCTCGATGACCACGACAATACGCATCGCATTTACTAGCCCGAAAGCTTTTCTGCTTTTGTCAATTCCGTGGTGCCATACATAGCAGGCTTCATTGTTCGAAAGGTCGAACTGCAACTACCTGTGAAGAGTGCATAGCAACCATGCACTCAGATGAGCTGACACCTTTAATTAAATGTAAGAGGCGAGGTGGTCTTGTTTTACCGTCGCGAGATGTCATTAGCCCCTGTAAAGAAGTCGAGGACTGAAGTGGCTACAGGCTGAATGTGATTCCTTCCCAACGGTGAAGTCAAGAGCAAGACACCTCATCCTGAAAAATCTATGAGCTTCCTCCGAGAAAAACTGGTTCCATAAACTAGAGCAGCACGTCCTAGACTTTGATACGCTTGATAATCAGGTTTACAGTTTGTGCAGGCAAATCGCTGAACAATACGTAAAAGTGAGGATACAACACATGACGAAGGAAAAAAAAAACGAGAATTGGTCAAAAGTAAGGTGGGACCACTTTTGACAAGGGCAATAATTTTCAACCACCAGTAGGGCACCTATGTTTTCGATTATGTGTTTGCTTTAGGCATCGCGATTTGACGCATATGCACTTTAATTGAGTTCTCTACAAGCCACTTGGCTGCGTACAAGTCGCAATAAACATTTACAGCCAGAGTTACTTGTTTTCGTTGCTTTATAAACACACGAGTCACTTCACCCGCAGCGCGGTGAAGCATTAAATTTGCAGCGCTCGGCTCTTTTCTGCCACTGGCAACATGGCCGCCGCATGCTCGGCGCGGCTTCACTCTCTCCCGTAGCGGCGCATAGGCGGCTTCCACTCCAGCAAGTTTTATGTATCTTCCTTGGACCGGAGGGACGTGCCTGGCTTCCCGGCGTGCCTTTACGCTCTCGACGGCCGCTAGGGTTGGTGGGGGCGTTGCTGCTCCTTTTCGTAGTGTGTGTGGCGGCGGTATGGCGCGGGCGGCTGGGCTCAACGTGTTCTCTGGCCCAACCTGCTAGATTGGCTGAGCTTGCGTGTCACGAGTGTTGGGAGCACCCGCTGCGCTTTCGTGCCTTCTCGTGTGGATCGTGTGCCCTGAGCGTGTTCGCCGCGTGCAGCCCGCGGAATGGCGAAGGAGCGGACAGACTCGCACTGCTTCGCTCCGGGCTGCCGCACGGGCTACCCGAATGGGCCAAGAGCGTCGCTGTTCACCGCACCGAAGGACGATGACCTCCGCAAGAAGTGGGAGCGGAACCTTCAAATTAAAGATAAAGGTTTCAGCATTTCTTGGGCCGTATGCGAGCACCACTTTCAACCGCACTTCATTCTGCGTGACTATGTGCATGTCATAAACCGCAACGAAGTGCGATTTCCGAGAGGGAAGCCGTCTTTCACTCCATACGCCGAGCCAACAGCGCTTTCAGGCTGCCCATCGTAGACTGTCCACCGAGACAATGGTGGCCTTCTCTACCCGTCAAGTTTGCTGTATACGTTTGTCGTAAATTTAGAAAATGCTTTTACTGAATGTTTTAGTCTTTCGGAATTGCATTCTGATAGTGTACTCGATGTTTTAAGTCACTTTATGCGCAAGAAGAAGATTGAAATTGGATGTCCAGAACATTCTGAGCAACTCGCAGCTGAAGTCACGGCATCTTATGTCACAACACGCCTCCACTCTTTCACAAAAACCTATACCAGCGTAGCATCAAAAAGCGTGA